TGGGAGGCTGCAGATTGTTACTGCAGTTTTGTTCTTTATACACAGTTTCTGGGGGTCTGTTTTTATTTTGCCTCAAAGTGTCCTAAAGGAGGCAGACAAATTGTGTAGAGAATATCTGTGGGAAAGAGTGAAGATAAGGAGAAAGTGGCACTAGTTGCCTGGGAAAAAATGTGCTGCCCAAAGAAACTAGGAGGCCTAATCATTAAAGGAAGCAGAGATTGGAACATAGGTTCAGTGGGGAAATTGATGTGACAACTATTAATGTGCAAGGAGTCTCTATGGGTCAAATGGGTTTATGGGGTACATATGAAATCTGAACCAAATATATGGAGTCATAAACCATCCTTAGACTGTAGTTGGTACCGGAAAAAACTGAATTCTCTTAAGGAGGTAATGCATGGTTGGTATATTCAAGGCAGGTATAAGCTCACAAGCAAAGGAGATTACTCAATCACTCGGAGTTACCCTGCCCTCATTGGCCAATACAACAAGCTTGAGGTAGCTACACTGGTATGGACAGCCTTGGCCCAGCCATAGCACAGATTCATTATGTGGCTAGCAGTCCAAGGAAGATTACTTACCAAAGAAAGGATGCTTAAACTCCACATTTAGGTGGAGGATTCCAGCTGCTGTTTATGCAATGCTCAGGTGTCGAAAACCAATGCACACATATGTTAGAGCTCTGTATTCAAAATCAGTAAATGAACAAACGTTAGTTTAAAAAAAATGAAAGCAGAAAATTTCGAGCCCACAAATTTCTTGTGTTTTCTTAAGGAATTTAATTCCCTCACAATGCCCAAGGTTGCGGATTAATTCCTCCCAGGATAGAATGGAATAACTATTCTGTGATAGCGGCACCTCAAATCACAGAATTTCGGCGAACTCAAATGGCGGAGCAAATCACACAAAATGCTTACGTTTTTGGTTTTGGAAAACAATGCAGAAGTTTGAGGGGAGTGATTTCAGATTTTTCGGTGGTAGAAAATGAGGCTAAGCCTCTCTATTTATAGCCAGCAAGGTTGAGTCCCAACAGGTGCAAAGGTGCATGTTCAATGATAAGGTGTCTATTCAGCTATTGAATGGAACGTTTCAGCTGTTGGTCGCGAGATAATTCCGCGATCTTCCAATGTGAGAAAATGATTTCGCGATCTTCCAACGCGAAAAATATTTAGAAAAGAAAATGTTAAATAATGGAAAAGAAAATAAATTTGGCCCAAAAAATTATCAATCAATCATATCAATTGACCAAATACGAATCCGAATTTGAAGCCGAAGCCGAAGCCGAGCCGAGCCGAGCGAGCGAGCGACGACGACGACGGCGCGAGGCACCACTTCTTCTTAACTCTTTAAGAGCTAGAAGATGAGCTTCTATATATATACACAAAGATTTTCTTTCCTTCTTCCAATGAGGGACAAAGTGCATTAGTAAAGTGAACTTATTCAAAATTTTACTTCCCTTCATTTCTTTTCCCACCATTTTCCATTCACACCTCTTTTTTTATTAATAACAAAACCCAACAATCCCCCACATAAATGGGGAATGGCTATCCGAAACAAATATGCATGAAAAACTGTGTGTGATTCGCAAGTAAGGGTTAATCGCATCTGGATAAGTAGGTTTCTCTTTGAACTTTCCGTAGTGAACATATGTCGAATATACTCGATCAATCGGTAGATTTGATATCTTTTAACCGTCAAACTTTGATATATACCTAGAAGTCATATGTCACACAATCAATCCTTAACCGTCTTTGGTTCTCATTGTTGTGTTCGTTTCAGCCATGAACACCGCCTGGTTTCATAAGTGCGTAGAGAACTGGCCTTACAACATTCTCCTTGAAGCGGCTTACACTTCACACTTATATAGGTGATTCCTAAACGTGTTATCCCGCAGATACACTATTTGATATACCTCGTACCAAAATTAGAAACCACTAAAAAGTCCTAACGCTTTATCCTTGGTACTGAACATTGTCTACATCATGAGAATGGACCAAAGTTTTATTTGACAATGTTGAACCGTCACTAATGACTTTGTTTGATCTCCTTGAACTAGATCTTGGGATCTCCAGTCTTCTAGATAGAGTTACCGCCATAGTGACTTGTCCTCGGCCATAGTCCCATACCCTTTGATGACTTCTCAACCGCCTCTCTAGGTAGGCCTTTGTAAGCGAATCCGATACATTATCTTTTGACTTTACATCGTCAATTGTGATAATTCCACTAGAGAGTAGTTGTCTAACGGTATTATGCATTCGTCTAATGTGACGAGATTTCCCATTATACATAACGCTCCCAGCCCTTCCTATTGCTGCTTGACTGTCGCAATGTATGCATACAGGTGCCAAAGGTTTGGGCTAAAATGGGATGTCTTTTAAGAAATTCCGGAGCCATTCAACTTCTTCACCGGCCTTGTCTAAAGCTATAAACTCAAACTTCATTGTAGAGCGAGCGATGCATGTCTGTTTGGACGACTTCCAAGACACTGCTCCTCCACCAATGGTAAAAACGTATCCACTTGTGGATTTTGTTTCCGTTGATCCGGCGATCCAATTTACATCACTATATCCCTCAATAACTGCGGGATAATTATTGTAATGCAATGCATAGTCTTGAGTATATTTCAAATATCCAAAAACTCGTTTTATTGCTATCCACTGAGCTTGGTTGGGATTACTTGTGTATCGACTAAGCTTGCTTATTGCACAAACTATATCAGGTCGTGTACAATTCATAATGTATATCAAACTTCCCAACACTCGAGCATATTCCAATTGAGATTTGCTTTGACCTTTATTCTTTACAAGAGTATGGTTTAAATCAAGTGGCGTTTTTGCTTCTTTAAAGTCCAAATATTTGTACTTTTCAAGAATCATTTTAATATAATGAGATTGAGACAAAGCTAGACCTTCAGGAGTCTGAAGAATCTTAATTCCCAAAATTAAATCGGCAACTCCTAAGTCTTTCATATCAAACTTACTAGTAAGCATGCGCTTAGTAGCATTTATGTTAGCAATGTCATTACTCATTATCAACATATCATCCACATATAAACAAACAATGACTATTTGATTTGGAGTATTCTTAATGTAAACACATTTGTCACACTCATTGATCTTGAAACCATTTGACAATATTATTTGGTCAAATTTCGCATGCCATTGTTTTGGTGTTTGTTTTAGTCCGTAAAGTGACTTAACAAGTCGACACACCTTCTTTTCTTTTCCGGAAACTACAAATCCTTCAGGTTGTTTCATATATATATTTCTTCCTCTAAATCTCCATTTAAGAAGGCTGTCTTTACATCCATCTGATGGATTTGAAGGCCATACATGGCGGCTAACGCTATTAACACCCGGATAGATGTAATCCTTGTTACCGGCGAGTATGTGTCAAAGAAATCAAGACCTTCTCGTTGTTTAAACCCTTTAACAACTAATCTTGCCTTATATTTGTCAATAGTACCATCAGATTTCATTTTCTTCTTGAAAATCCATTTAGAACCCAAAGGTTTATTTCCCGGAGGAAGATCAACCAATTCCCAAGTATGATTACTTAATATGGATTATATCTCACTATTAACTGCCTCTTTCCAATATTGTGCTTCCGAGAAAGACATTGCTTCTTTGAATGTTTGAGGCTCATTTTCCAACAAGAATGCTAGAAAATCTGGTCCAAAGGAAGTAGCTGTCCTTTGACGTTTACTATACGTCTTGGATTATCCTCATCAAAAGCACTTTCCTTTGTTTCTTCCCGAGGTCGCTTAGATTGTACGACTCACATTCTATTTTATACGGATAAATATTCTTAAAGAATTCAGCATTATCTGATTTAATTACTGTATTAATATGAATGTCGGGATTTTCTGATTTATGAATCAGAAAACGATATGCCTTACTATTTGTTGCATATCCTATGAAAACGCAATCAACGGTTTTTAGTCCAATCTTTACCCTTTTGGGTTTAGGAACTTGTGCTTTAGCCAAACACCCCCACACTTTAAAATATTATAAGTTGGGTTTCCTTCCTTTCCATTTTTCATATGGAATGGATTGCGTTTTGCTATGGGGAACTCGATTCAGTATTTGATTAGCTGTAAGAATAGCTTCCCCCCACAAGTTCGGAGGTAAACCAGAACTTATTAACAAGGCGTTCATCATCTCCTTTAACGTTCTATTCTTTCCTTCTGCAATTCCATTAGATTGCGGTGAGTAAGGGGCAGTTGTTTGGTGAATAATGACATTTTCTAAACATATTTCTTCAAAAGGAGAATCATATTCGCCGCCCCTATCACTTCTTATCATTTTGATCTTTTTGTTTAGTTGCGTTTCAACTTTATTTTTGTATTGCTTGAATGCATCAATTGCTTCATCTTTACTATTAAGTAAGTCTAGTACTGTCATCAATGAAAGTTATGAAATACTTTTTCCCACCGCGAGATGGTATTGACTTCATGTCGCAAATATATGTGTGAATTAAGTCTAAAGGATTTGAATTCCTTTCAACTGACTTATAAGGATGCTTAACATACTTTGATTCCACACATATTTGACATTTCGAGCTATTGCATTCAAACTCAGGCAATACTTCCAAATTAATCATTTTTCGCAAAGTTTTGAAGTTGACGTGGCCTGAACGTTCATGCCATAAATTATTTGACTCAAGCAAGTAAGAAGAAGCTGAAATTTTATTCATATCAATGGCAATTACATTGAGTTTGAAAAGTCCCTCAGTCAGGTAACCTTTTCCTACATACATTTCATTCTTACTAACTACAACCTTGTCGAAACAAAAAAGCACACTTAAAGCCATTCTTGACTAGAAGTGATGTCGAGACTAAATTCTTCCACTTTTCAGGAACATGAAGAACATCATTTAGAGTCACATCTTGCCAGAAGTCATCTTCAAAGCCATCTTGCCCGTTCCTTCAATTTTTGCAGTAGCGGAATTTGCCATAAACATTGTCTCGTTGGGTCCAGTGGGGCATAAGAAGTAAACAACTACTTGTTAGCACAAACATGTCGAGTTGCTCCTGAATCAATCCGCCATTCTCTAAGATTTCCGACTAGGTTGCATTCTGAAAGCATGGCACGTAAATCATCTATTTCATCATTCTTCTCAATCATGTTTGCTTGACTTTTCTTCTTGTCCTTCTTTGGTGTACGACATTTAGCAGCCTTGTGTCCAACCTTTCCACAGTTGTGGCAATTACCTTTGAACTTCTTCTTGCTTGGGTAATTCTTTGGTCCAGACGGCTTCTTTCTCTTTTTACTCGTTGAAGTTTCCTCAACAATATTTGCACCCATTATTGTTGAATTTCCACGAGACTTCTTCTCAGCAGCCTTGTTGTCATGTTCAATCCGTAGATGAATAATAAGGTCTTCAAGCGTCATCTCCTTGCGCTTATGTTTCAAGTAATTCTTAAAGTCCTTCCACAGCGGAGGCAGCTTTTCAATAAATGCCGCAACTTGAAACGCTTCATTTATGACCATACCTTCATTTATAATTAGTACAATAATCAATATCTTGAATAAAAATATTGACTCGTTTTATACCTTCAGCAAGGAGGTCATGAACAATAACTTGCAATTCTTGGACTTGCGTTATGGCAGATTTACCGTCAACCATTTTGAAATCCAGAAATTTGGCGGCCACAAACTTCTTTAGTCCAGCATCTTCAATCTTGTACTTCTTTTCACGAGCATTCCACAATTCTCTTGATGTTTTCATGACGCTATAAATATTTTACAATCCGTCTTCCAAGCAACTTAAAATATAGTTTTTGCATAAGAAGTCAGAATGCTTCCATGCCTCAGTGACCATAAATCGCTCATTTTCAGGAGTTTCTTCTCCCAGAACTGGAATATCTTCGCTGATAAAGCGCTGTAAACTTAGTGTGGTTAGTTAGAAGAACATTTTCTGCTGCCTACGCTTAAAGTCCATACCGGAAAACTTTTCGGGTTTTTCTGTTGGTGCCATCACCGGTGCAGGAGTTGTGCGACTTGAAGACACATTTGTCGTTGCAGCAGTAGTCCCAACAGAATCATTCTTTTTTTCCACACTCGTTGTCATCTTTCTGTAAAAGAAATTGACAAACATAATTAGTATCTCGGTGAAGCTTTTATATCTTCAAACCGAATACAAACAATCGAGTTTTTATATCGCGGATTGAGTAGAAAGTCACAAAGACTTTAATCTCAAACTGGAGTAGAAAATCCGAAGATTTTAATCTCCAAAACGGGAGTAGAAAATCAATAAGATTTTAGTCTCCCAAAGCAAAAAGTAAGATTGAATACAGAAATAAAATAGTAAATTCCTTAAGTTTGTTAGAACTCTGTAGTCAAAATCAGTAAATGAACAAACGTTAGTTTAAAAAAAATGAAAGCAGAAAATTCCGAGCCCACAAGTTTCTTGCGTTTCCTTAAGGAATTTAATCCCCTCACAATGCCCAAGGTTGCGGATTAATTCCTCCTAGGATAGAACGGAATAACTATTCTGTGATAGCCGCACTTCAAATCACAGAATTTCGCAAACTCAAATGGCGGAGCAAATCACACAAAATGCTCTCTGAATGTTACATCTCTGCTAACAAATACTCTTCTGCTTTCTAGATCACACAACCTGTAGCCCTTTTGTGTTTCTGAATAGCCAATGAGAATAGATCTTCTTTCCCTTGGTGCAAACTTATCTCCTCCAGGTAAATTTCTTGCAAAACAAAGACATCCAAATAATCTTAGGTGATCTATTTTTGCTGGTTTTCCATATAACATTTCATATGGAAACTTTCCTTGTAATACTCCTGTGGGCAATTTGTTTATCAGATAGGCAGCTGTTCTTACACAGTCCCCCCAAAACCTTATTGGCCAGAGCTTTGAAATTTCAGTGCTTTTGTCACTTCCAATATATGCGTATGCTTTCTTTCAACTGTACCATTCCGTTGAGGTGTATATGGGCAATTACTCTGATGGATTATTCCCAAAGAAGCCAACAATTCATTACATTGAGAATTAAAAAATTCAGTACCATCACTTTGATAATTATACCAAACTGATTTTGAATCATTGCACAAAGTTCTTTATTACAACTAGTACTTCAATTTTTGACTGGATACACACCCAAATGTACCTACTATACTCATCAACAACAGTAACAAAGTAGTGCTTTCTATCATATGTAGGTACTCTGTGAGGTGTCACGATCCAAAATCAACCGTCGTGATGTCGCCTATCGTGGAACTAGGCCAGCCTCAACTCAACAACCCAACACCAACAACAATAAGTTTGAAAACATTAACGGAAGCATTTAACATTTAAGAAAAACTGTTTGAAACATAAGGAAATCTCAAAGTGATACAATCCAGCCCAAAACGAGGGTATCACTGAGTACATGAGCATCTAGATTAGAAACTACAGTCTACTACAGTGTCTAAAGATATAAACTGAAAATACGACAAATATAAAGAAGGAGAGTCAAGGACCGCGAACGCCATGCAGCTACCTCGATAATCTCAAAACTCTGGAACCTCGATCAGCAACCGTTGCTACGACTGGTATCGCCTGGATCTGCATACGAGGTGCAGGGGGTAACGTGAGTACACCAACTCAGTAAGTAACAAGTCCAAACTTTGGACTGAAAGGTAGTGACGAACTCTACCTTAACAGGTATAACAAAAATAAATGTACATAAACGTAGGCATGCTTTCAAGTCAAATATACAACTCAAAGCAGTAAAGGTAATATAGATCTGAACAGTGTAAGGTATACAACTCAGCTATCTCTACATGCCAATGCACAGACTGTATGAAATGCATCATGTGTTCTCACTCTCAAGTGCTCAACCATTCGATACCGTATATGGCCATTCGGCCCAGGGAAATCTATCCCGGAACATATACAACACTGATTGTAAATCACCCAGTACCGCGAAAAAAGGGCAATCCAACCCTGTGGAGAAATCCATCTCCAGGTATCAAGTACTTCGAACAAATCCATGTCGAGGGAAATCCATCCCTCAATAATATCATCCGCGCTCACTAGGGGTGTGTTACAGACTCCGGAGGGGCTCCTGCAGCCCAAGCGCTATCATAATCATCAATATAACTGATACGGCATGCAGCCCGATCCCATAACTGTCACTCAAAATCAGGCTCTCGGCCTCACTCAGTCATCAATCTCTACAGTCTCACCCACGAGCTCACAATGTCATAAAAACAACCTGGAACAATGATATGATGAATCTATAATTAACTGAGACTGAGATATGATATAAGAATGCATGAACATGACTAAGTACAGAATATTAATAAAAATAGTGAGATGATTGCAAGAAACAACCAATAAGGATCCTAACAATACCAACATAAAGCCTAAACATGATATCTAGCATGATTTACAGCTCAATTACTTTATCACATGATGAAAACATGGATATCAATAGGGTCATTAAACGGTGCCATGGAATCACCCAGGTCACACTTCTCGCGGTGCACGCTCGCACACCCGTCACTTGGCATGCGCGTCACTTCAATACTAATCACATATCAAATAGTTCGGGGTTTCGAATCCTCAATACCAAGTTTGGAATTACTTACCTCAAGCCAAGCAAAATCCTACTCGGCGATGCCTTTGCCTCTCAAATCGGCCTCCAAATGTCCCGAATCTAGCCACAAGCAATACAACACGATTAATATAGGTTAAAGGAATCAATTCCACAACAAAAATACCAAATTATAGCCAAAATCTGAAATCGGCTCAAACTCGGCCCCTGGGACCACGTCTCAAAATTCGACAGAAGTCACAAAACCCGAAAGCCCATTCACTCACGAGTCTAACCATACCAAATTTATCAAAATTTGATCTCATTTGGTCACCCAAATTCCTAAAATCCACTCTCCAATTCTCAAGCCCTAAATCCCCAAATTTTCGATTCAAATCCCTAATTAGGTGATGAACAAAGTCATGAATTCACAAAATTTAGACCAATACTGGTTAGGATTACTTACCCCAATGCTTTCCTTGAAATTCCTCAAAAAATCGCCTCTCTCTCTCGAGCTTCTCAAGTCCAAAATCGAAAATGAGAGACTAAACCTCGAGCTGGTGCTTTTCTGCCGAGCAATACCGCACCTGCGGTCCATTGGTCGCTTCTGCGACGCCGCACCTGCAGAAATTCCATCGCAGGTGCGGATCTCACTTAAAAATCCTAACCTCGTTCCTGCGGCCTCAATACCGCATCTGCGTCCATCGCAAGTGCGGGAATCCGTCGCACCTGCGGCCTTCCAACGCACCTGCACCCAGCTCCCCGCATATGCGACCCTTACATGTGCGGGAATATCTTTGCACCTGCGGCTTCTGCCCAACTCCTTCTTGGCCGCATTTGCGGCTCCTCCTTCGCTTCTGCGGGCTCGCACCTGCGGTTCCCACTCCGCAGGTGCGGTTACACCAGTAGCAGCAGCACTTCAGCTGTAATTCCTCAACTCAAATCAAGCCGTCAACCACCCGAAATCACCCTGAGGCCCTCGGGACCACAACCAACCATACCAACAGATCCTATAACATCATACGAACTTAGTCGAACCTTCGAATCACTCAAAATAACATCAAAACACCAAACTACACTCGGATTCAAGCCTAAAGAACTTCTAAACTTTCGAATTCCACAAGCGATGCCGAAACCTATCAAACCACGTCCGAATGACCTCAAATTTTGCACACAAGTCAGAAATGACACCACGAACCTATTCCAACTTCCGGAAACCCATTTCAACCCCGATATCAAAATTTCCACTGCCGACCAAAATTGCCAAAATTCTAACTTTCGCCAATTCAAGCCTGATTCTACTATGGACCTCCAAATCACATTTCGGACGCGCTCCTAAGTCCACAATCACCTAATGGAGCTAACGAAATCATCAAAATTCAAATCCGAGGCCATTTACACATAAGTTAACATCCGATCAACTTTTCCAACTTAAGCTTTCTAATAAGAGACTATGTGTCTCAATTCACTCCGAAACCACTCCGGACCCGAACCAACTAACTCGGTATATCATAATATAGCTGTAGAACACAAAAGAAGCAGGAAATGGAAAAACGGGGATATAACTCTCAAAACGACCGACTGGGTCGTTACATGAGGTCCCCAAACATCTAAGTGAATGAGTTGAAAATTCCAGTAGAACTAGCACTACTAATAGGAAACTTTAGCCTACATTGTTTAGCTAATGGACATACTTGACAATTCTCTTGTACCTGCATATCAACTTTATTCTGTAATCTTGAAATATGCTGCATTGCCTTTATTGAAGCATATGCATGTCCTAACCTTAAATGCTAAAGTTCAATTTCTTCTCCTTTTCTGAGAAAAACTCCTGCAGCTGCTACTGTTATGTTCTCCTTAAGCAAGTACAAATCATTATTCTCTCTACCAATCTCCATCACCCTGCTACTGTAAAGATTCTAAAATATACTGAAATCAGGGAAGAATGTGGCTGAGCAACAGGTTAAATTAAAATCTGGCACATACAAGACATTTGTTACTGTCTTATTTCCTAATATGGAGGCCTCTCCTGTGTGAGTTATTTGAGATTTACTTCCAGTAGGAAGTTGTACTCCATGTTTCCCTTGATCATCTGGCCTTTTAATATTGTTTAAAATATTTTTACAGTGTGTAACATGATGTGTTGCCCCTCTATCTATTACCCAATCACACATACCTGCATCGGATAACAGGGA